GTTCAACTTTGTGGTCGCACTAAGGTTAGAACTATAAAACCATACTAAATACTTCACTAGGTACATTTTCATCTTAAAGTGGATGAGCACGTCAATTGATACGTTGAGCAGAAATTGCATTATCTCTTCTATTGGATGATCACCATAATGTCATTATCATCAGCCTGATTAATGTAGGCAGGGCTTTTAAGGCAGGTAGTTATATTTTTTCTTTTGATACTGATGTCCCCACTGCTGGGGCAAAGGCTTTCCCTATGGTTGCAATAGGGAGACTAGGCCGTAACTCACCAAACGGGCTTAGTGCGGATTGGTAGGTGCTGACGATTGCAGATAAACTCAATATCACGCCAACCGATGTCGATGATTCTTTTTTTGTTTGGAGGAGTTTCTTAGCAAAATGTTCCCATTATTCGTAAATTGGGTAAAGATCTGAAAAATACTTAGGGAGATAAACAACGGAACTCCTCAAATACGCACAATACACCCCCTTATTAATACCCCCCCCCAGTAATAAACGAGGAACAAGATTAGACTAGTTACGCCGTGTTTTGTTATGCCACTCTAATGCCATTTGTTATTTAACGAACAAAGACAAAACATGGAGTAACTAATCAAAGCTTATTCTTTGTTCATTAACAGGGACACGATCCTGTTTGGTTATTTTACGAAATATGGAATTAAGATCGCAGGTCAGACATCTATATTTAGTAAGTTGATGTTACTCTGGCTTATAAAAAGTGTAAAATAAAAATAAAAAAACAACAAAAAATAAAAACCGACTTCATAAAAACAAAACCACTTAATAGTAAGAAATAATGCATATTCTTCACTTATCACCATTTAAAGTCAAATTAATATTTGGAGTCGGTGCCATGCCAACCCAAGTAGGGTTACCATTCAGGAATTTCAAAAGTCCTGACAAAAATCCTGACATTTCGAAAAACGTCCGGACATTTTAGTCACAAAATTGTACCATTCCTCCTTAGTTACAATGGTATGGTATTTAAACTCCGGACTTATCCGGACGGATGGTAACTCTAAACCCAAGCAGTAAATTGCAACTCGGATCGATCAATATGCTTGGCACCGACTCCAAATGTTGATTTGATTTTAAATTTGGTTAAAAGTAAAGAATGTGCATTATTTCTTACTTTTAAGTGGTTTTGTTTTTATGAAGTCGGTTTTTATTTTAAGTTAAAAATGTTTTTATATTAATATCTACTAAGTACCTTAACATGATTTTCTTAGGGTCTGTTTGTTTCGTTTAATAATTGTAATAATGGATTATCTACGGACTCTGTCAATGTTAAATCATAATTATGAACATAATACCAGAAGGGCCTTGCGTTGTGTTTACCGATTGCTATGTATTTATGATTACCTACCATATCTTTGATTACCATTGTTTTACCTCATCTTGATACTGTATGTTAATTACATAATACTATAGGCGACGATGGAAGAACAGTTGTAAACATAAAAATAAATAACATACAGAGAAAACCTAATTTTAGTGATCTATTGTTGCTATTGAGGAGCTCGATGGCGTAAGTGGTTAGCGCGTTCGGCCTGCAATCGTGGAAGTTAAGCAACTTTCGCAATGGTCGGTCATTGGATGGGTGACCAAAACTTATTATCTCGAGCTTCTACGTGCTTCGGAAGACGCGTTAAGTCTTTGCCCCAGCTGTATTTATAGTCGTTAGCATCCACCAATCCGCATTCGGCCTGCGTGGTGGGTCACGGCCCATTCTCCCTATTCCATCAATAGGGAAGGCCTGTGCCCCAGCAGTGGGGACTGACAGTGGGAACAGCAGCATTAATAGGTTGATGATAATTGTTGCTAAGGTTTACAGTATAGTTCGAAGGATAGACATTGTATAAGTATAGTCTGTGACCTTAGCCCGATTTCGGTTATGATACTTTCCTATTACGAAGATGTTTCCTATTCATTATCGATACAATAGTTTGACTTTGACAGTTTGTCCGTCAGGGCCAGGGAATTGGCCTCATTAGCTGGTAAGGAAAAATATAACTATCGTCGGCAGCGTTGCTAAGTGAGTTATCGGGTAAAATATTATCTAGTTTATTATATCAAGGTACTAAGGACATCATTGTTAGGTATAATTATAATAATAATTACTAGCAAACCAGTGAACCAAATGTTCACCAAAACCAGATTTAAAACAAAAAAAAAAATGTATTTAATTAATTGAGAACTTCGGAGATTTTGTGTGGTTTCGTTTGAAATTCGTGATTTCTCGAAAACCGGAAGTGCTACGTTACTCAAATCCGGTTTGTAGTCTTATCAGACTATTCTTAACTTATAACTTAAATATTCTCTTTATCTATCTCTTACGGTTTGGCCGCTGAAACAGCACCACGGACAGACGGACTCGTCTAATAGATAAGAGATTCTGGACTATGCACAACAATGATTTAGATCAAAATTAAGCATGAATAAAAACATTATTCAGGCATCATCATCATCTGCTGGGGCACACGCCTTCCATCCATAGGTTTAAGGAGATTAGGCCATGAACCACCACGCGGGCCTAGTGCTGATTGGTGGGTGCTAACGACAGATGCAGCCGGGATGGATATTTGCAGCACTCATGCATTGTCGGCTCTGAAGAAAAAGGTTTACTCGACTTTTGAAAATCGTCATAACATAGGTAAGAGGGAAAACCGTTGAGGTCAGATCGTACCAAATTTTTTTGGTGCACAAGATAAAGTAACGCGCGCAACGCATGATGCTGGAACCAGTAAATATTAAGTAATCTGTGCTAGAACTCCAAACGTTCAAAAGGAATAATAAAAAGAAAATGAATTTTGAAAATTGTTTGTCTGTTGTTCCCTATAAGATGTATGTATTAAAATATTTCAAATATTTATTGTATATTATATATACGAGTAGTTATGATTTCATTGTATATTACCATGTAATTATATCATATTATGATTCTTTCTCTTATTGTGTGGCCAACAAATGTTTATTTTGTCATAGACGAGGATCTGTTAGGCCGGTTGTAAAGTGACCGCGCGGCCTTAATTGTGGTCAAGTACGTGGGTGCTTTAAAGCGTCAAAATGTTCCCACAAGCAAGGGCTGCGGTGCTATAATGCTCGGAAGTAATGTTGCATCTTGACGGATTAGGATCTTAATTGTATACAATTTCTTGCTTCGAATTTCTAAATAGGGTTGCCCCCCCCTAGAATTGGTAAATCAAATCAAGATAAAGACCACTATCGAATGTGTTTCTGTGGCTTCTAACATCCCTTAAAGCTAGTTTTTTTGTAGACAATAATATTTATTTTATAATCATTAAGGTTCCCTACATTATTAATGGCGAAAAATACAATTCAACATGCAATTAAAAACAGAAAATCGTATTCTAAGAAAAAACAGGAGATCTCCTGTGAAATCTGGAGACCTGGCAACACTGGTTACACCTAACCTTCCTAAGCTAAGAGTTGTTTAATTTGTGTCTAATTAGTCTTATTATTTATACTAGTAGATACTTACGAAAACATGTACATACTTTTAGAATTTTATGGGTTGCTTACGGTAGAGAATCAGAATTTCAAAGGAAAAACATTTTCAGGCTACCATTACACCTACACAGACAGGAGAGTTCTTACACATCGATTTTTTTCTATTTATAATTTACAGATTACTTTGTAACTCCATTAATGTTGTTGATATTATTATGGCATTATACCACCAGTCGAGCCCTATGCTTAATTGCTATCCTCACAGTGAAATAAAATAAATATTTCCAACACACACCAATTAGCCTAGCCCCAAAGTAAGCACTGTAAGGCTTGAGTTATGGGATACTAGGGTAACGGATAGAATACACCTACTGTATATATATAAGTCTTCATAGAAATACGTGTTAAACATCCATGACTGGAGTACAAATGCTCGTATTTATCACACTAACATCTGCCCCCACCGGGATTCGAACCCGGGACCTCTCGAGTCGGCGACACCATGACAACCGGCGTATAAACCACTCGGCCACGGAGGTCGTCGAACATTAATTATGTAAAACACAAAAAAGGCGAACATATTCATTACGAACGACTTTATTACAGCAGACTAGTATGTTTGAGTAAAACTTACAATTTCAGTAATCGTTCACTAAAACTAAAAGTTTAATTGCCGCAGTAATTTCGAAATCAGATTATTCTGAGGTAAGAGATTCATCATACTTGGACAATTCTGTCAACAGCAAGTAGCGCGAAAACAGTTTTACAACTTCAATTAGAACTGAAATACTTACTCTTCATCTCTTTCGGTAAAATTATCCATGGATTGTTTTTTTGGAAAAAATACGTAATGGAACTGTGCCGATGAACTAAAAAAATAAACCGGTTTGGTAACAGTGGCCTAGTGTTCAAACGATAAAAGAAAATGATTACTAGGAACCCAGTTCGAATGTACCTACCTCTTAATAAAGATTTATTTATAGCGACTTAGTGTTTAGATTTTTCACGCTGCAACATCGCAATCCATTGTAGTTCTAACTGAATGAATTACAGATATTATGTATTGGGTGTGAGATTGATTTGGTTAAGGGGCCTTGAAGGAAATATAAACCTTAATTAATGATTAGAATCGCTGAAATCGGTTGAATGTCTCCGTAATCGTAAACCTCGGATTTATTAGAACAACGGCACACTTTTGTTCTTTTTGTCAGTAAATCGGCTTAAGAATGACACAATGTTTGGCTGATCTATTAACTTCTAACGTTTTTTTAACATCACAAAATTGTAATTACTAACAATCAGTGTTTGATAATTTCACGAATGGATTATTGTGGAAATTATGATGGGGTCCGCCTTTTGAATTATATTATCTAACTGACCGCTAACACAAGTTAATAGTAAAACAAAACTCCATAGTAAGAACGATGTAATTGATATACTGGTACGGAAAATTGCGATGTTATATAAAATGTAAGCATAACGATAGTTCGCCTTCATTATTTACGTTGTCGACGGCGCGAGCGCATTGCAGTGTTGGGCGGGATTCTGTAGCGACGCAACGTTTTGCGACTTGAAACTGTGAAGTGTTCATAGAATAAAAATAATTTTGTATATTTATAAGCTTAAGTGAAGTAAAAAAATAAACCTTACAAAATGAAGTGGCGTCTATTGATGATGGTAAGTAATTAAAATCAAATGACACTGTTTTGTTATTTTTTAATATTAAATATCAAAAATATTATTTAGACTTAAATTATTATATAAATAGGAGAGTCTTAATAATTTTATAAAACAGTATTTTGGTAGTCAAAGAGAAAAAAAATATATAATAAAATAATTATAGTATTAAGCACAAAGTAAATGAGAAATAGATAAGCCTTAGCCACACCTCATATAGATGTCTCATTAATCAAGGGATGACTTATAATAATGTCCAGTCCGGATACAATAATACCTACAGGTTGCGAACCTACAAGTTTCCTTTTCCGTTGATAGGTTTTTGCTATCTGGACGGTGCAAGTTGGTACCGTTATTCTTTCGGTACCGATCCAGCATACAACATAATAATAAATTATAATAGTTATATAAATGCTTACATAATTATTATAGTTCATTATTATTTTATATGAATATGCATTCTTAATATAATAATGAATAAATAATGTTAGCTAATTTTAGCCTGACTGAGCTGATTAGGTAACCAATAAATATGGTAATTTTCAATGCTCTTTTTCGTGTGTTATTTTGTAATGTATTCATTGTCTTGTTAACTATACAGATTTAAATTAATTTCGTCTTGATCTAGTTGAGGTTTTAATGTCAATAACTATTGCAGCATGGAGAATAAATTACTTTCTCTACAATCTATCAGTTAAGATATTTTCTTAACTTATTAGTTCCACTTTCGTTTCGTTTATCTCTCCGCCAAACTCATTAAACTATTATAGTCCGTTAAATGTCGTCTTGTTCCCATAACGACCTTGTAGGTAATCTGCCTTCAATGTTATGGACTTAGAAAGTGCCCTATTGAGACCTGCGGATGGTCGAGATTTAGTGATATTTATTACTTAAAGGGCGTCAAATTATGGTGTTTCAGCCGAGGTAAGTTAACTACGGTTATAAGTTAGGTTTGTAAGGATTCACCCTATTGCCCCATTATAGAGCTAACTGAGATTTATTTATATCCTAGATAGTCATTTAGGATATTTTATGGATTTTATAACGAATACGCAAACTGTATTAAGAGTGAGTCAGAAAATTGTACAATATACCATGTTAGTTTAAACAGTTTAATTATTATATTCATATTATAGTCATTTCAGGAAAATAACATGCGAAAAATGTTAAAAAAAAAGAAAAGAATTTTAGGGCTGATTTATCAATTATTATATGTGAGTAGAATCTTCTATCATCCTGAGTATCATCTGTTTCTTATAGACACCAAGGTCTACCTTTAAGAGAGGTAGGGCATAGCTCTGCTCTCTGGCTTAATAGCTCTTAATCGATTTTTCTATTGGCATTTTAGCAGAATATTAAACAAAAAAACTATGAAAATTTTTACAATAGCCGTGATTCTAATATCCGTGTAAGTACATTTTTAAAAAAATTATTATGCGATCCTCGTATCTTATATACCGCTGATACCTATATCGTGTATCGAAAATTACACGAGATATGCAAAATAAACCTGCGTGAACTAATCCTGGATGATGGAGCGCATAAGCGTAGAACTGGGACTTTAGTTAAATAGGTCCAAAACCAAGATTATAGTCATAGATCACACAGGAAAACTTGACTTGGAGGTGGTTTGTAACTTTATATAGGTACATGGGCTCAAGCATCAGTTGTAATGGCTCATACGAGAATGTGGTACGAAGAAGAATCGGGATGTTAAAGAATGCCGCATTCTGGTACTCTTTATATTCTTGTAAGAGTTGAAGTCGTGAACCCTAAAGAATGCTGACCGCGATCGTATCGATGCTATCGAGATGTGGTGTTGGCGAAGGATGCTGGGTATCCCTTGGTGTCAAAGGCATCGCATCAATATGCCAGAGCTGAAAAACCAGACAAGGCTTTTCCACCATCTGCCAACGTAGGATCCGATCGCTTTACTGGTATAATCTGTAAGGTTATGGAGAGAGTTCTTAAGTAGCTTTCATACCTAGAAGATAGCGATCCTATCAGTGATCGTCAATATGGTTTCCACCGGAGAATGAGACGACCATCGAATCCAAAGCACAAACTGTATATCGAAAACTTATAACCCTTTACAAATTCCAGCCAAATACCAACTTGCCAGACTAGGCTCAGTTAAACGCAGAGACAAGAATTATAGGATACATACAATACAATAAAAAAATCAAGAGAAGAGAATTTGAACATAAAAAAATAACAAATGCTGAAGGACCTTAACGTGAATTAATACAGAAAATAGGGATGGAAACATCCTTCACATTTTAGAAAAATATGCCAGCTCAATCATAAATATAAATCTGATAATCATGTACAGTGGCATTATAACACATTTCTTTTTAATTTCTTTAAAAATCTCCTATAAATGGATTTATAACACATTTGCTCGTAAAGCGTCTTTTATTGCACCAATTTCAATATCATAATCATTCACATTACACACGCGTGTGGTAATGTAAAGTAAAACGCACGGCTTATTATGTTCCGTCTAAAAACGAACGATAATTTTTAAATCTTAGCAAAGAGTTTTTTTATGTCAGAAAGGTAGCCAACATTTTCTTAATAAAATTAACTTTGGGAGATAAAATATAATATATCAACATTTTATTCTTTAATTTGATTCATTTTGACAATAAACATGGTTGTACCATGTATCGGTAACAAATTCACAAAAATATTAATTTATTTTATTAGTAACACTGGCTGTTTTTTGTTCCTTTGCCTAAAAAAGCGTTGTTGCGCGCGCATCGCTAATCTGTGAAATAGTATATTTCATTACTAGTACGGAATGGTTGTCATTGCAGAGAGTTCCGACAAATGTCTACCCGAGCCGAAGGCGAGGGTTGACAGTCGGAACGAGTTGCAACGACGGTTCCGTACGTGTACTGAACGACTATTTTTAATACAGTTGCGAAAAAATGAAGCAATTTAATCAAATTATAAAAACACAATAAACTCAATTAACTAATCATTTATTTCTTATAAAAGTTATAATTCACATATACATTGAAATTGGTACAGTTTTTTATACTAACTGGGGAAGTTTTACGTTGCATATTTACTGTTTGAGACAAACTATTATTAATATCGTATGATTGTTCATGTATATTTGTCATACAATGGCGTTTGCTAGTTGATGGAATTGGATCTGATGAATTATCATTATCAACGAAGGTACTCGTAGATGGACGAACGTTCTCTTCAGCATGTGAAGGAGACGGACTGGACCTTAAATTAATGGATTGTGTGATCTTTTTCCCAGTTTCTAGTTTGTTGTTTAATGAATCACCAATATAGCTTTCTGCAACTTTGTCCGATTTCCAACCACCTAGTCGCTTTAAAGACGTCAAATTGGCTCCTGAATCTGCCAATAATGTAGCAGAGGTCCTTCTGAAGCTGTGCCCAGTATAACACTCAGCATCCGGCAGACCAAAGTAGCTATTTCTTTTGGCATATTACCAAATTTGTTTATGCCGATTACTTGAGCTGTACACTTCCCTTTTTGGAAATTTTGAAAAAAACGGTCGGATTTTCCTTTTTGGATCGCTGGTTCATATATTTTTTCACTATTGTGAGAAAATCTCCTTCAACAACAAAGCTTCGCGGTATCTTAATTTTTGTGTTTGGAATCTTGATAAGTAGCATTTCTCCATGGGCTTCAATATCTTTTAAAGTAATATTGGCTAAGTCCTCTCTGCGGCAAGCTCCAACAACGCCAAAAATCAGAGCAACCTAAAAAAAAACGATTTGATTCATATAAATAATGTATTGACTGTATTTTGCGATTTTGTAAACTGAACACTAAAGAACAATGTAGATATGTATACTTATTAATAAATTACCTTTGTGGCTAAATAACAATCATCGGGAGCTTCTTTCAAAAACCTTTCCACGTCATTCGATTTTAATATTTTCGACTTTTTACTGGTAAACCCGTCTGATTGTCGTTTTAAGAAGGAATTTAATTTTGGATATTGACTTATATCCACGTTGTTCCTTATTTTCAGCATACTTTTTATCATCGAAAACCTTGACCATAACGTAGAAGGTTTTAATTTGGCTGAGAGTTCGGAAAAGTATGCCAACATAACATTTTCTGAAAAACTATTTGCTTTTTTCTCTTCTTTCCACGCAATAAATTCATCGTATGTAGATATGTAGCGAATTTTTGACTTTTCCGGTAAAATGTTCTCCGAAGAATTTTGTGCAATTATACTGAGTTCCGGTGGAGTTAATTCAAAAAAAATTAGGTCGAAATTACTCATTTTGTGTAAAAAACAACTAAACTCGCAAAGAAAATTTCGGAAAATGGCGCCAACCGTAGAATGTAAGCAGTTTTTTTTCACCCATTCTGGTAGGCAAAGGGAACTGCCCATACAGCCAAGTCTTTAGTACTTAGTATTTTTTATTATAAGAAATGAAATTGAAATTTAATGATATGAAATGAACTGAAACCTTACCTAACTCATTCAATCAATTAATTAATTCTGATATTGGACAAATTAGTATAGGTAGCTTCTTTTTGAAAAACAAATAAACCTATTTGCATGAATCGCAAAAACTTCTATGATTTTTTTTTAGTTAAAACTTCATGGTTGTTTTTTTTAATAGAAATAATTTTGACAGTTGGGAAAGAAAACGCACGAGTTCGGGAAAGGCAAAAAAAAAGCACGAGTGTGAAATAGCCCAGATCCCGAACGCTACACGTCCCTGCAATACGCCACTTTTTGAGCAACTGTATAAAAAAAGTTATTTCTTTTCGCTGTATTTTTTTTATTTGAAATTATTTTCAAGTAGTAACGAATGTATTAATTTGACACCGCCAGAAATCGAAGAGGGCTAAGCCAGGCTAGGCTAAGCCTCTTGCCCAAAAATCCACGGAAAGGTACTTAGTCAAGCGCATCAAAATTTCATCTTTTGGAGAACAAACAAAGGTGCAATCCATTTCATTCATTTTCAGAAAGTACGTACGTAGGTAGTATTAT